AAGCTGTGTGGTCCCTGGACAGAGTTCAGTTCTTACGGTAAACCGGCAGCAGCCAAGTTTCTGCTAAAAATAAAATTCATGTAAAACCATCGTTACTGACAACAGAAAGTCACAAAAGAGAACCAGCAGAACCGTGTGTGGTCCGTGTGTTCACCCTGGAAATGTTTGCCGGAGGTAGAAGAGCTTTAAGAAAAAGATCTTTAATGAAATATCACGATTTAAAGCTTAGACTGAGTTGATTTTCCAGACAAAACACCAAAGCTAGACACGATGAGTTCAAGGACAGTTGAAAAAAATACAAGAGAAGCACTACTTTTTTTCTTTTTTATATTTTGTTGTTGTTGTTGTTTTTAAGCAGAATCTACAGGTTCTGGTTTCTGGAGTTTTTTTTTTTCAGAATCTGGTGAAAGCAAATGATTTACAAACACATTTAAAGTGAGGAGAGTTCTGACCTCAGTTGTTTAAACTCTGGTACTAATTGACTTTTAAAGTTTCCCAGACAGCTGTGTGGTCCGTTTGGTTACTTTTTTTGGCAATAATTACTACTTCTTTTTTTTTTTTTTCCAGAATCTGCAGGTTGTGGTTTCAGGAGTCTGTTAATATTTGCAGAATCTGGTGAAAGCAAATGATTTACACACATTTAAAGGGAAGTGAGGAGAGCTTTAAGAAAAACAGTTTTTGTAAACTATCATAATTTTAAGCTTAGACTGAGTTGACAAAACTTAAAACTAGACATGATGAGTTCAAGGACAGTTGGAAAAGTTAATAAATAAGAAAGATTTTTTGTTGTTTTTTTGTTTTTTGCAGAATCTGCAGGTTCTGGTTTCAGTTATTTTCTTGCAGAATCTGGTGAAAGCAAATGATTTACACAAACATTTGAAGTGAGGAGAGTTTTCAGTTGTTTAAACTCTGGTACTAATTGACTTTAAAAGTTTCCCAGACAGCTGTGTGGTCCGTTTGGTTATTCTGGACATTTTTGTAGAACATAGAACAAAGATCTTTGATGAAGTATCCTGATTTTAAGCTTAGATTAAGTTATGTTTCCTGATGAAACCTAAACTCACACAGCATTAGTTCAAGGACAGAGGGAAAGATAAAAAGCGACAATAATTTCTTCTTCTTCTTCTTCTTCTTTTTAAATTTACAGTTTTTTCAGAATCTGCAGGTTCTGGTTTCAGGAGTCTGTTAATATTTGCAGAATCTGGTGAAAACAAATGATTTACACACATTTAAAGGGAAGTGAGGAGAGCTTTAAAAAAAAGATTTTTGCTATAATATCACAATTTTAAACTTAGATTTTCCCGCCAAACCTTTAATTAGACATGAAGAGTTCAAAGACAGTTGGAAATGTAAAGCTTCCCATCTGCAGTTCAGTCAAATTGTTTATTTTTGGTCGCAGTGGAGTCACTCATGGCTTCATGGTTCAGAGCAACACTGGATTATTTTGTGGTGAGAGCAAATGATTTACAAACACATTTAACAGGAAGTGAGGGGACTTTAATTTCTTTTTTTAATGAAATATAATATTCTTAAGGGTTAATTTTCCGGAAGAAATCTAAAATCAGACACAATATGTTCCAGGACGGCTGGAAAGTTAAAGTTTCCCATCTGCACGTTTGGTCTTGTAGCAGAATCTGCGTGTTCTGGTTTCTGGGATCTGGTGGGAACAAACGATTTGCACATTGGACAGGAAGCGAGGAGAGCTTTGACCTCAGTTGTTTAAACTTCTCTCGCACTTAATTGACTTTAAAAGTTTCCAAAACAACGCTGTGGTCAGTCTTCTTATGGTCAGCGAGCATCCACCAAGTTTGTGTCTGAAAATAAACTTCATTTCATACTATCTTCCCTCACTGACAACAGAAAGGCTGAAACAAACAGCAGCAGAAATCGGTTTATTTCTGGTGTTTGCTGTTGGGAGGGGATCTAAGGTGAACGTCTGCCCAGTCATCTGCTGCGCTGTGGCTTCGGAGGGAAAAAAACAAAACAAATTTAGGTTGTTTTTTTTATGACTTTCCAGACCTCTGGGCTCAGATTGGAAGCAGAGTGTGTAATTTAATAAACGCACGGCTGTCAGGAGGCTGCTTTTCTTAATCTCTGAGCGACTGATGCTTTCGAGATGCGACGTTCCCACCAGACAGCCTGAAGCCGCCTCGAGCGCCGTGTCGGACCTCCACATTTCACCGCTGGATTGGATTTCACCACGGAGCCACTGCGAAATGTCAGCTCATAATTCTATAACTGTGCAACCTCACAAATGCCTACAGATCTGAGAAATCTTGACGATCTTGAAAAAAAAGAGCATCTTTGAACACAGCCTTTCACACGACCGCTGGCCTTTCACAGCACAGATGTAGAAAAAAACAAAAACAGCTGTCAGCAGAACAGCTGACGCACTTTTCCGCGAAAGTCACGGCCGCAATTCAGATTGTGACATAAACGCGTCGACTGTGGGACAAATTTGGTTTAATTATGCTTCATTAATCACACACAAGGCAAGTCGGTTTGATGAAAGTACAGCGAATGAGGCCAGATTTCAAGCTTTTGAGAAGATTCGAATGATGAAAAATGTGTTCACGGAGGGTTTTCTTCCCGTCGTTGTGCCGAATAAAAGAGAAAAAACGTCTTTGACAGTCACACGAATCATTAGATCGTCACTCGGAGCTTCTTCTTCTATATTTTTAGTGACATTTATAGTATCTGTTTTAATCCAGAACTCCTTAAATGCAGACTGTGGTGGCACCTCTTGTGCACCAGATGCTAAATCTCACACATTATTATTGCAGCTCTTTTCATACGGGTCCTCAACCTGAAGCCTGTGATTTAAAAGTGAAAAGTGCTTAAACAGACGAAGCCGATCACAAATCTGAAAATTCCTTTTTTATCTGACGCGATATAAATACGCCTTTAAACTGGACGTCATGTTGAAAAATGAGACTCTAATAAAGAATTATTTATTGATTGTGCTCAATGGTGTCTAAGATCTGCCAAAAGGCGTTTGTGGTGGATTTGAGGCAGTAAACTGAACCACACGGACACATCTGACTGTCCTGTGAGCTTCGTTTTTAAAGACCGAACACAGAAATGCTGGACATTTTTTCCGTCATCGTGCAGCTTAAACTGGCCACAAATTCTAGTTTTTTTCTCCAAATGTAGGCTGTTTACAAAACTGTGTTCATCCTCTGAGCCCACCGGCAGCTTTAAAAGCGATATAAAATTAAACTAAAAAACACCTGAATAGCATTTATCAGAGTCAGAAACTGTACAAACACAAAGAATCGCCTGATTTTTAACCCTCCGATGAGGCTTGAACTCCTAAAATGATCCAAATTTAAGTTCATCGCTGTGATTTCCATCAAAATTACTTGAAAATAAACTTTTTGCTTTAACCAGATTCTGTAAAAATCAAATAAAATGTCCACTCTGACACACGACTGATCACTGATCTGTTCTTTTTCCAGTGTTGGTGACACCTGTAGGCACTTGGAAAAAGAAAATCAGCTTTCATTTTCTACTTTTTTCATGATTTATAGCATTATAACTGTGTCATATTGCCCTACAGGCGTTTCTAAAGTCTCTCTACTTCTAGTCCTGGTTGTTCTGTTTCCATAGAGGTGCAGGACTTTATGTTGTTGTGAAAAATGAGCCCGCAGTGGGTAAAAACGTGACGGGAACAAAAAAAACGTCTGACTTAGATTGGAGTTTAGAGGGTTATGGATTAGGAAAAATAAAGGGAAACAAGATCCTGCATTGAAAAAGCCCTTCTACAGTTGCAGAGAACATGCAGCTGGATGACGGGTAACAGATTAACCTCACAGCTCTGCGTCCCCGTTTGCTTTCCTGACCTCCTGCAGCCTTCTGGCCTCATCGACCTACTGGCCCACTTACACATGGAGAGGCCAAAGAGTAACCCGGGCCTCCAACACCGGGACGGGTCGGACACAGTTCAGCTGCATTAACCACTGATGGATATACAGCGTGGTTAAAGGAAAAGAAGCCGTACTGTATCTGGTGTCTGGATTCTGCTGGAAAATTAGACTATTTTGGGTTCTTTAGGGTCTCTTTTCCGAAGTTTATATTGATTTTTCTGCTCTTTTTCTGGATTTTTGCTATTTTTCTTGCATAATATCTGATTTTAAGGGACATAAGGTACTGTTTATATGTAGTTCAGTCAGATTGTGTTCTGCTATGAAGTCACAAAGCAGATCTTCAGCCTTTAACACGTTTGTCAGAGCTTCAGATTTGCAAACAATGTCATCTGTAGCTGATTTTCTCTCTGATGTGTATTTTTCTGCTTTGAGAAGAATCAACTTCCTCCTAAACTTGTCTTAATGAGGTGATTTAGTCGTGTTCGTCTCTGAAATAGCTTAATCTTAAAAACACTGATGCAAATGCAAAACAAAACACCTGCTTTGTGACAAGGACACGACACTTGAGTCATAAAAAATACAGACAAAAAGACAGAAATAAACAAAAAATCCTTAGTTTCAGTTGCTGAAATGTATGTTATCTGATTTCAGTAGCTCATCAGGTGATGCTGAAGCGACTTGCTGATCTAAGATGCTCCAAGACAAAGCCGACATCAGTGCGTCTCACCTGTTTTGTGCTCTTTAGCTGCTGCTGTGGCTTCGTCGGTCTTGCTGTCGTCCTCTCCGGTGCTGCTGGAGTCCACGCAGATCACCTCCTGTCTGCTCGGCTTGACCTCCTGCTGAGAAGCCGCCGCCGAGGCCGACGATGACGACACGTGCTTCGTCACGTCGCCTGAAGAGAGGCACGGGAATGACAGATCAAGAAAGACGTCAGAATGTAATAAAAATGAGGAAAAAAATTCAGCTCTTGGGAACGATATCAGGCTTCATCTGTGTTTTTATTAGTTGGGTTTTCCCTCCATTCATTTGCTCATAAACCGTACAGGATGTACAGATACATCAACGTATGTGTGGGTGAAGTTTAACCAGGCGGTCGGCAGATTGCAAAGCAGAACTTCATCACATTTGTCAGGGCTTCAGATCGTCTGTGGCCGATTGTGCTGCAGTTTGCATTTAAAGTGTGTGTTTGCATCACAGGCTGTGCAAAGTGCATATTCTTTGCTGTGTGCCGCCGCCACGAAAGTGATCATATCTAATCTATTTTGTTCCCAGCGTGCTACAGTATGCTAGCTGACGTGCAGGAGTTGGTGCTATCGGATGCAGCTGCAGGAGCATTTTTGTGCATTTTTTTTTTTGCGCTCACCAGTTGTGTATTCAGGCAGCAGCGGTACGGGGAAATCCTGTTTTCTTTGCTGCTCCAGACGTCGCCGTCTCTCCAGCTCCTCCTGCTGGGCGGCTTTGGTCACGGCCTCCAACTGATGCTCCCTCAGCAACTTCCTACGAACGAAACGCAAACAAAAATAATGTAGAATAGCTGAATATTTCTATAACGAGACTTATTAAAACATATTTTGGTTTATTAGCTCATTTACTGTATGACTCAGTTTCAGCGCTGTCAGTCGTGTCATTTCCAGATGTAGCAGGAAACTTGCTAGTGCTAAATAGCGGGCAAAGTTAGCAGCTAGCTTGCTAGCTAGTTAATGTAGCGAAACAGTTAGCAGCTAAACAGGCGTATATGTTTCTGAGAAGTCGGTGAAAACACAACCACAGCTTAATGTATTTTTTAGGCTAAAAGAGAAAACAAACTCTTCAAATTACTGGTGATGCTGTGAAATGTCTGTTAATGCGCTAGCGATGATAGCTAAGTCTCTTTTAGCTTGATTCTTTTGCTCCTGGTGGCCAAAAAATACACTAAATATGCAGCAAAATATCAAATTTGGATAAACTGTATTTTCTCATGTGTGAATGCTGGCACAAACGAGTTTCATTCTGCCCCTGCCAACACATTTATTGGCCGTTTTCTTGCCCCTGACACATTTTTATTCACTGTGGAGTTTGTTTTTTGCTGCAATATAAAGTCCTGAACCTCAATGGAAACAACACAACCATAGATAGAAGTAGCAAGAACTCAAAAATTGTCATTCGTGCAGTACGACACAGTTAAAATACCATAAATCAAAAAAACTGATAATAAGAAAGTTGAATTTCCTCAATTTTTAATTTGATAAAAACTGAAATTGGCACGTACATTTTTTTTTAAAGTGCCTACAGGTGTTACCAATGTGGGGGAAAAAAGGAAAGTATTATACGTATTTTACGATTCCTGTTTTTAGTTTGTTTCCAAAATGGCCGCCTTTCTGCTCCGTGTAAACACTGCCTGCAGTTCAACCAAGAAGTCTCTGAATTTTTGTCATCTGACTGTTCGGTCACGGCTTTTTTTTTGTTTTGTTTTGTTTACAGAATAATAAAAATGGTTTATTTTTGACATTTTTTTAAAAATATGATGCAGAATAAAGGAACGTTGATCAAATATTGCGATTTAAAGCTACGTTTTTGGCTAATTTTACGAATAGAATTTGTTCAAGGACGGTTGAAAACTTGAAAATGTGACAATTCTCTCTTTTTTTACAGTTTGTGCCTCAGATAAACGGTTTAATTGGCGATAACACACATTTCATACTTTGCAGGGGATTTTGGAGTGTGGAAAAAATATTTCACAACAATTCCGGGAAAATTTTTGTAACAGATAATTCAAACCATTTTTCCTGCACCACTCGCGTAAACAGTTAAATATCTTATCAGTGAGGGAAGTACAGGCAGGGAATTAAACCCAGAGCTTCCATCTCTGGCACATGGTTCATATTACTCCTAACACGCCGTTATGTAAAAGCAACAGCATATTTGGGGTTGAGCTATATCATGTTTATTGGCAGCCTGGAGTGACGAAGCTGCGCGCCGAGCATATGTATAATCAGGGACAGACTTCTTCGGTAATTGGCCAGAATTAGAGTGAAATCTGAGAACGAGGGGAAGAGGAGAGGAAGAATAAAAGATATACAGCAGCGATATGATGAATCCTGTTATCCGGCCGCTGGGTGTTATTAGGAATACAATAAGTGTTGAATAAGCGGAGTGGATGTTAGTTTACTCTGCGTGTCGGCAGCAGCGTACCCAGAGGATTGTGTGGTAATCCTTTTTATCTCAAGGTTGACCGGTTACCGCGTGAGTCAGACTTGTTTTCTAAAAACTGGTTTACTCGGCCTTCAAGTGCAAATGCAAAGTAGTTAATCTGTTATCCCAACATCTGTGTCGTAGTAGTTTCCTACATGCATGTTGTGTTGAATTAACTGGGTTGTGATTGTTGGTTACACTACATGTGTCCTGCAAAATATACCTTTCATAATTAGTTAGTTAGTTAATGATTTTATAAAGGTGACTCCGCAGACGATAACTGGTTCGTAACATTACAGCCGAGCCACTGATGTTTCTCAGCTGAGCATCTAATCACAGAACTTTGTTTTATAGAATCTGGATAATGCAAAGTATTTATTTTAGGATTTTTTTTGAGTGAGATATGTAGAATAAAACAATTTTGATGTCATAAACCACAAAAAATCTAAATTAAAGTTGATTTTTTTTGGATTACTGGTTGTACAAAAACTCGGTAAACCTGCAACCTGCATGTGTGAGATCTTTTCAAGTTGTTACAGACACTAGAAAAACTGTGGTGATCCGAGTCCGTTTCAGGCTGGGCGGGGCTGTTGGACACCTGAGGCTCATCATTAATCAGCGCTGGATGAAGCCTGCCTCCACCTGTGCTCCAGCGCCAGTGGATTATTCCTCCCTCGAGTGGCAACAGGCCAGCAAGTTGTCTACAGAAACTGTTTGCTAGAAGAGACTTGCTTTGTCTAACTGTGATTTTGTCTGCGTTTATGCCAGAGCCTCCCTGTTGGAGTGACGCCTCCTGGACCCAGCCTTCTGCAGCCAAGCTCCAGCCTCAGCAGTTCTTCCCTTCTGGTCCCTTTGGAAACCTCCCCTGGAAAACCCTCCCTCACTCAGCTACCCTCACGTGCTTCCTGGTGTCCACCGTGTTCTTGCAGCCACCAATAAGTCCTTTTTGCTTCTAACCTAACCCCTCTGTTGCATAACAAAAACAAGTGGGGACATACTGTCGATATTTTACTATTTATATTTCTAGTTTGCTTCTGCGCTTGCCTCCAGTCTGCTTCGTGGAAACACAGCCTGCAGTTCAGCCGAATGGTTCCTGGTTTCTGTCATGTGACTGTTGGTTGCAGCTGAGTCACTGATGATATTTTTAGTTTTTTTACTGAATCTGATCAGCAGAAACGGTTCATTTTTGGGAAACTTTTAAATAAAACAAGTTGATGAAACATCGTGATTTTAAGCTAAGGTTTGGTTAAGTTTACTAAAACAACAGCACAATTGAGATGAGTAGTTTAAGGACTGTTGGAAAGCTGAAAAAGCAACAATTTCTTCTGTTTTTGCAGCTTCTGGCTCTAATAAATGGTGTTATTCGTGCGATTTTTAAAAGATGACGTGTTTTTGAAACCCATCAGTAGGTTTTGGGGTTCAGACAGTGTTACTAGAATCACCAGCAAATATACAAACACGTTGGCGTCCATTAGAGCTCCTGGACCGAGGCCATGTTTGAGGTCTCGTACCTGATGTTGCGTCTCATGTGTACAGGTTTGGAGCTCCTCTTCTTGGTTCCTGTCAGGGCGGAGGGAGGCGAGGGGCTTTGGCTTGCCGGCCTGGAGTGGGGTCTGGACCCGGGCTGGGATGGTGGGTGAGCCGGCGTCTCCGCCGAGGGTGAGGTAGATGGGGGAGGGGTGCACTGCCACACAGCCGGGTCGCCGCCCTGAGCCTCATTCTCGGAGCTGAAGGGGGCGCTGTGGGACTGGTCTGTGACGGGGACATAAGACAGAACAGATGCTGTTAATTCAAAGTGTGATAAAAGAGTAAAACAGGACACGGTGTAAGTTATGAGTTCAGATTGTTGTCGTCCATGATTCTGGGTAACATTTACAAAAAATATGGTGTCTCTTCCCTGCCTTCACCCTGAGTCAGCTGGGATAGACTCCAGCCCCCCATGACCCTAGTGAGGATTGAGCGGTGTATAGATGATGGATGGATGGTTTCTCTTGGTGAAATACGCAAACAGAAAATAAAAGATGCAACAGTTTTATAATCGTACAGAACAGTCAGATGGAGATGCTTTAAATGCTGCAACGGAGAAGAACATTTTTTAAAGCACATTTTCCCCCCGATATTCTTTAAAAGCTACAAGATGCTTGTTGTCTTTGATGTTCCGATAGAGACTGAGCTCACTAAAGTCCAGTTTATGCTGCACAACAAAACCAACATGCTAGCCAGCTGATGTTCAAGAACGTCTCCGTCTACCAAATGAAGCAAAGAAAAGCGTGGAGCAGCGTGCATTGTCTTTTATTACAAGGAACATTTTAAACAACACCGACGGTCCTCTACAGAATTATGAACAATGCAGCCCCAAAGCGTTGATGTTAAAGCACCTTTTGAACCATTTTAAATTCAACTGAACTGCTAAACAAGTGCTGCACAAATCATGTGATCTTTTTCTAACATAAAAATCCACGTTGTGCCTTTCTTTGGATGAATATTCCACTGCTTCCTCTATTACACATGAAAAAAAAATCCGTTCCAGGTGTGATTTTAACAAATAAACAGCTTTTATGCCAGAAGAAAGAAGAATCTAGTGTCTGCTCAGTGACAATAGCTGTGAGTTTTGTAATACTCGAGGAATTTGTCATGAAACAGCACTTCATTGTCGCAGCTCAACAAACCAAACTACCAAAAAGAATCGACAATACATTTTACAAACTTCCAAATTCACGACGTCTTCCAAATTCAGGACATCGTCTAATTAAAATCTGGGCAGATGAGTACGACTGAGTCATCAGACTGAATTAAAAAGTTGTTCTGGCTGTGTAGTGCCACCTACACTTTGTTCTCAGAAACGACAGCGACTGAAGTTGCACGCCTCGTAATTATAACTGTCAATAAACAAGAAGAAAGAAACCATACAAACGAAGTACCGACAATATCCTCGGCCAGTTTTACTGGATCACCGCTGAACTGTTTGTTCATTGTGATCTGTTCTCTTGTCGGTTTCGTGCAGGTGAACATATTTGTCTCTGTTCAGTTGGGCTTGTCCTGAGGTGTGGATGCAACACTCCTCTTCCATTAAAAACCTGGCAAGGCCACCTGGCAGAGTGCTGCAACAGACGAGCCAACTAAGTAATAAGGTTTTTCTTTTTCTTTTATTGAAGGTATGATTGGAAATAGCTGAAACAAAACCACACCATCGCTGCTAAGTACGAAATGCAAAGCAGCCCACAGACATTTTATCTTCAAACCAGGATGGCATGTTTGAAAGGCACGTTATGGTGGGAAAAAAAGCCCGTTTCAGATTCCTGTTTCATCATGAGGATTAAAATCTAGTTTTAAAGTTGTGATACTTCATCAAAAATCATTTAACGTCACGTTTAAAGTTTGAACAAAAATAATATTTCCATTAACCAGATTCTGGAGGGAATAAAAAACAAAAACAGATCTTCACAAACCTTCAGAAAACCCACGTCTCCATCGTCTACCTGAGACAGGATCGATCAAACTTATCTCTATTTTTGTCAAGTCAAATCCACTCAACTTCATTTTGATTGATATTATCTCAAGCAAACAACAAAAAATACGTTTTCTGAAAATCTACAAAAAATCGCTGCGTCATGTGACAAATATTCGGGAACTTTTCAGCTCCACTAGGATGAACTACAGCCTGTGTTCACACAGAGCAGATGGGAAACAAGCAGGAAAACATCTGTAGTACGTAGAGTCACCTTTACTTTCCTGACTGTCTGAACACTTGTGGGCACTTGAAATGCAAACTTCAGTTTTGTTCCATCTCTGTAAAACAAATAAATAAATTCTGCTATTTTCTCTGAACAAAAGACAATTTAAAGTTCTCTCTACTTCTAGCCATGGTTGTGCTGTTTCCATAGAGATGCAGGACTTTATGTTGAAGTGAGAAATGAAGCCCACAGTGATTAAAAATGAGAGTACAAAAAAAAAAAACTATTAGGAGGGTCACACTGGTGTGACTTCTTGATCTGCTGGAGGATCTAACTAAGTGTTCAACTAAACGACATCAGTGAGAGTCTGAGCCAAAATCATGAAAACTGTTTAATCTTAATTTGTCAGCTTTTTTCCTCAAACGCGTCTTCGGTTGTCTGTTTCTTTTTCCCCCTCAATCTGCCTGTATTTCACCTTTCTTCTTCTTCTTCTTCTCTCCTCCTCCTCCTCCTCCACCTCCTCCTCCTCCTCCCGCTCTCTCAGTTGTTCTGCCAGAAACACACTGAACCAGATCTGAGGCTTATGTAAGAGTTGGATCATAAATATGGACGGCTTATGAAACACAAGACAGGACACAAACACTGACACACACACATTCCAGAGGACAAGTGTTCACATATTAATCAATACATGAATATATCCGTATAAACGTGGAGGTCGGCGCAGCCAAGAGTCTGCCGGAGACGACTGGACAAAAAAAAAAAGGGGGACGCGCCGCCAAAACATTAATTCTCAATTTCAAAAGAGTCGCATACGAGACATGTTCACGGCGTGACACCTGGCATGAGGATGTGCACGCAGACGGACACACATCCTCGACATAATGGAGCATGGAGGCTGGTGATGAGCTCACCGCCAACTGAAAAACAACTTACATAAAACGCCCCTTCAGCGCATCTATGTGATAACAAACTTCTTGATCCGGCTGCTAATGACACCAGCTCAATGCTTCTTGGTGTGTCTGTCGAGCATTTCGAAGCGATTCTTTTCGCAATAACTCCCGTGTAATTAGCTATATGTGGAGCAAAAAAGTCGGTTAAATCACCGTCATGCCTCTTTAGAACAATCCTCTGATGTTGGTGCGTCAAAGGTTAGAAAATGTTCAATCTGCATTTGGACAAACATTTAATCTTGTCAGTCATCGGCCATTGTTATGCTGATATTTTTCTTTATTTGATAAATTTTGGTGCACATATCCACGATTCACTGCCGTAGGATCACAAGCATGCCTGTAAACTCCTAATGTGTACAATACATGGTCTACAATCCTGCATGTTTTAGACGTTTCCCTCTTCCATCAGCTCATCATCAAGCTCTGCGGAGGCCTGATAACGATCCTGATCATTTGAATCAGGTGTGTTGGAAGAAGGAAACATCTAAAACATGCAGGATTGGACACCCCTGGTCTACAGCGTGCTTTAGGAAGGGCAGTAAATGAACATAAAACTTCCCGACTTCCCACCTGTGTGTACATTTATGTGGCGTCATTGCAGAAAAACTTGGCTCACACTCTTGTCTACATATGGGCATTTTAATTCAAAGTTTTAACGCAAACTCCAACAAATAATGAGCATAAGCACGATCCTCCCTGAGGGTGACCAACAGACAGACAGATGGATGAAGTTTACCAGTGTTTCCTAACGGTCCCATATGGCCAAAATCCATCTTTATAGTGTTTTGTATGTTTTATAACCGTGAAGGTTTCAAAACAAAAGCTGTGAGAAAATGCTGATGCTTACTACCTCCACTCCTCGAGTTCGATCTTTACAAGGCAGCAAGAGTTTTATTGAAAACCAATTGGTACCCGATAGTCATCCACTTTGTCTAATCCTGCTCCGTCATTGCTGCCTCTCAGTCCACCAGTTACTTTCTCGAGCTGCTTGTGCTAACTCTAAATGTCTCAGCTATGAGTGAAAACCCATCAAATGTTCTGCTGTTGGCTGCAAGAGTGAACACAAGAGTCTTCATGCACTCCCAGCATCCGAGGAGCTGAACGCCCNTGAACACAAGAGTCTTCATGCACTCCCAGCATCCGAGGAGCTGAACGCCCGGCGGATTACTGCTATTGTTGATGCTAACGTCACCACAACAAATCCTTTGTGGTCGTTGTGTGGCTAACGTTACCATTAGCCTCTGTGGAAACTTTCATTTGAAACCAGTACACAAGGACTGGGTGTGTTACTGTGTTTTCATGTCACCTGTTGTTCTTTGGTGCAACCTCAGCTGCAATTATATCTGTTTACTTCTCTCCTGCTCTCTGTGTTCACATATACAGTCGTGACTCGATAATCCGACGCTAAATGTAAAACCTTCTTTTATGTCGGATTGTCAAGACGGAGGTCCAGATACAAGGAGGGCTTGATGCTGGAAGGCTCATTAGTTGTTAATATTTATTGTTCATAATTGTTTAATAACTAGTAGGGCTGGTCCCAATAGCACTTTCTGGTCTCTGGATATTCAGATCCAATTAATGATGAATATCTGAATATTCAGCGGGGTCCGGGGGGCACTTCCACCCCGTTGGAGCGCTCTAACGGGGTGGAAGTGGCCAGAACACACAGGCAGTACTTGGCTGCTGATGCTAGTTTAGTTAGTGGTCACACTTCTGGGAATGACCATCCGTGTTTACTTCCATAAACTCTGAGCACGCTCGCTGCGTGTGACGTCGTCGTGTCCTCTTCTGCGAATGCGGGACATTTTTGGGTCGTATGAAGTTCACACAGCAGATCACATACAAGTCGCATTTAATTGGAAATGTGAACGAACTCACAAAATAACTGGATTGTACAAAGAAAGTTGAGCATCAAGTCCTGCAGTGTGAACGTAGCCAATCTGTGGGATTGTTCAATCAGATAATACGTCGTTATCCTGATTGGTGACATTAAATGTCATGCTGGAGTCAGAATCCAAGGCTGTCGGTATGTTAAGGCTGTTTTAATGGGTTCTGTTTGTTTTTCTTAAAAACCTGTCAGACAGCAAGGTTTAGGATTGTTAAGGGTCGGATTATCAAGTCAGGT